CAGGGACCCCCAGCTCACTCAGGGGAGAAGCCAAAGGCTCACCTGGCCCCCTAGGCTCCTCATGCCCCCAGCTCTGATCTCACCACCTCCTCCCTCTGCCTGTCCTCTCCCTGGCCAGCAGCTGCAGCCACAGCCGCCTCCTTCAGTCCTTCAATGCTCCTAGCCAACTCCCACTTTGGGGCTTCACAGCCATTCTGCCTGGAATGCTCCTTCCCACGTGGTCTTCAGCTTCATTCTCTCAGTCTCAAGATATTCCTCAAAAGTCACCTTCATGGGCAGGCCTTCCTTGGACATCCCACCAAAAATGTCAGCACTTCCCTCTGCCTCCCTCTTCCTGTTCTCCCTTCCCTCCTTATTTCTTCTTGGTGCTGGTTATTACCTACCACAATGAAAGACAGGACCAGAGATGTCAGGATGATGGGATGGCCCCCCTAAGGCCAGGGAGTGTTAAGAGGAGCAGCCTATGGAAGAGCAGGCGCTGAGGAGGAGAGCACTGGAGGCACAAGGGGGCAAGCAAGGGCATTTCGAGAAGAAAATGACCCGTGGGCTCCAAACTATTGAGTAGAGGTGATTTCTAGAGAGAGATGATTTCATGGCTGATGAAAGACTGAGAAAAAAGAGTATTTTTCTAATTTACCCTTGGCAGGAGAGTAAATTAAACTGTCACCTTGGAGGACAACTTGGCAGTGTCTATTAAAATGTGACCATATAGTGTAGAATCCAACTGTTCCATTTCTCAATATCTTCCTTATAAAAGAAAAACAAACCTCACACACGCACAAGGATGCATGCTGTGAATGTTTTCTACAACATTCTCAGTGATAGCAAAAAATTGGAAATAACCAGGAAAAAATGGCTAAATAAGTTGTAGTACATACGTCATGTAAAATACTACGCAGCACTGAAGAAGAGTGCAGCCGCACTATGTGTGTGACAGGGCTGGCACACACACTGTGGTGCAAGGGGAACAAATCGCGGTCCTGAATGCCATGGTCTCACTGCCACTGAAAAGACAGAGTCAGAGAAGAATTAGGGGTGATTTTTAAAATGTTGTCCTTTTCTATAATTTTAAAGTTTTTTTTTAAAAAAAAAACTATGAATCTGTGTTACATTGATAATCTGATTTTAAAAATTTAGAGTTCAAAATACGTATTTGTTTTTACCATCAAAAGCATTTTAAAGAAACAAGAAAGAAGGTGAGTCCAAGAGGGATGGGGAGCGCTGGGAAGCCATTGAATGTGGGATGGTTTCCTGACTTATGAGAGGGCAGGCTCTGGACCCGGTGAGCCGAAGGCTTCCCTGCAGGCGGTGAGCTGGTGAAAACAGCAAAAAGCAAAGGCAGCAGGCACAGGCGGCTCTTCCCACAGTAGGGGAGGGGAAGAGTATTTGGAGGAGAGCAAGAGGAGCATTTTTGTGGCTGAAGGAGACTTGAGGGTTGCAAGGTATCAGCAGGTGGTTGATTTGTAAAGCCAGGTCTGTACATCAGCGAATGATAAGCCTCGTAATACCGGCAGCCAACAAAGGCCAGGGTGTTCACTGCAGCAAAGCAGGGAGCATCTGCGCCCCCCACAACTTTAGACCCAGCACTTACCGCACAGCAGGCAGAGAGTGGTACCTTTGTAGGCCCTCCTCTGTAAAATCTGCATCTGAATTCTGTGTGTTTCTTTAAAAATTATAGCTCTTTATCATTTCTTGAAGCCCTGCTGGCTTTAGAAATAGACCTGATCTTTTCTGAACTTACCATGCCTTTAGCAATCTGAAAATTTTTGTTCTTTCTTCATTATCCATAAATTATAATAGCTCAGCAAAATGTTTCCACTATGGCCTCAATGCTGGTGAAGCTAAACTAATGTTTAATAAAAAGTTCTAAGTAATTTCCCTGGCCACGCTTGCCCCTTGCGCGCTGTACTTAAGTTTGTCAAATGACCCACTCAGAGGGCTTGGAAGGAACTGAAACCAATCCATAAAATAGAATCCACCCTATGTAGCTGAGACACCCTGTGTGCCATTCTCCTGTGCTACTATGCATCAGCGGCCCTCGCTCGTGGGCATTGGGTATGCCTCTGTGCTGGGTAGAGGAGGGAAAGAGATCTGTTTACCTCGACTCCCTGACCAGCGGCATTTAAATCATTCGCAGATGGTGCGCAATTCCACCAGCACTGAAGAGGAGGGAGCCTTTTCGATGTCCCTTTCATTTATTTAAATCCCCCTTGAAGAATGAGGTGCCACTTCAAAGAGGCCGGCAGACTGCGGGTGGCCTTACAGCTTCTGGTTGATTTATGCTGGAGTTTAGCCACTGCCTTTGCACAGACTTTGTTTTAGGGAGTATATTTATCTGACCTTTCTTTGACTAGACAACCCCACAGCAACTCATGGGAGGAAATGGGTGCTCCGTGTAGAGAGGTGACATTTAGATGAGCTGCAGGAATTCCAGGGCGTCTGGTGTTTGATCCCTTAAGCCTGCCATGGCCACCTTACAGCCAGCTCAGCACCTCCCAGATTGATGGGAAGGGAGTGCCCTGGGGCTGAACAGTCAAAGTGGACTCTGAGGCAGCTTGTCGCCTTACCAAGAATCAGACTTAGGTCACTCTGGGTCCATAAGGGTGGTGGTGCCCAGGGCCATTCTGTGTTTGCTTCTTCAGTGAGCCTGTATGAAAACCCGGCACTTGAAGAGAACTGTGGTCAGTGAGGAAGACACATGTCCTTTAAGACCACGAGAGCCTGTGCTTTGCAACCCTTTAGAGGGTAGAGTGAGGAGTGATGTGTCTCTTAAGATGGTTTCTTCCTATTGGGCTTCATTTGCTCAAACGTGAGGTGGACCCTCATTATTCAGCACCCCTCAACTCTATAGGGTTAGTGATTCAGTGGATCAGATCCTGTTTCTGAGCTACATCATGCCATGTAAGAGTGTAAGAGTGCCCCTGTCCTCAAAACAAACTCCAAGGTCAGATGCCACGTGAGGCTCAGTCAGCAGGCCCTGCAGGAGGGCCAAGAGCAGGCTACAGTATGCTCGCCTCCTGGGCCCTCCTCCCGTAGGGCCACTCCTCACCCACAGTCCATGCACCCTCACCTCTCCAGGCCTTAGAGAGTTGGCACTGGGTGTTAACACAGAGTGGCAGCACCTTGCCCCACAGGTGGGATGGGAGGCAGGTGTAAGGTGGGAATGGAGAATCTGTTTTGTTCCTGATTTCTTCCTGTCAAATTGAAATCCATCCTCTAGGCGTGTCTTCAGACAAATGCAGCTCCCCTGTCCTGAGGGGTTGCTGCTGAGGGAGCATGGGATCCCAGAAATCTCTGCCCATGGACTGCCTTTATGTCTCCCTAGACCATCAGCTGCCTTTCCACATGAGCTGGACCGCTACATTTAAACAAGTCATGGGTTCAAGCTGAGTGCCTTCTTTAAAGATGTTTAAGAAGAAGACACTTAAACAGAATACAAGATCATAAATATGCCAACGAAAAAGGTGCAGGCATTTTTTTAGAGACGCATTAGCTGACGCGGCTCAATTAGGGCCGCCTCTGGGTGCCCAGGGAGTGCTGTCTTGTTAATGGAGATCCTTGCTGAGTCTCTTTCTGAAGTTCCTCTCCAGAAGTGAAATTAAAATCACGCAATTAAAATGTTCACAGCTGGGGCTGGATGTTCTTGAACTGATTGAAAGATGAAGAAGTGGACACACCATTTTGAAACAGCAATTGTCTCTGTAATTAAATGCAATTAACTGACATAACTGTTTGCTTTTCTCCATGTAAAACTGATTGAAATGCCAACACTTTAAAGAATATGTCCCCATCTGTTTTCTCTTTCCATCCTAACCAAAATTCTCACCAACACATGAAGACCATCAAAGATAATGTTTGGCACACCCACTCTAATACTGATGTTATGGGGTAAACATATCCAGGAAATTGGGGAGAAATACATTGGAAAAAGTAGAGCCCTAGGCTATCCAATGCACATCACTTCTGAGCTACACTTGCTTCTTCACAATAAAAAGATTAAATCTAACAATTTTTCCATGGCTGATCTCTGGGGAAGGAGCCATTGAATGTAAGTGATAACCAAAACACAGATTCCAAAGATGAGACTAAAAAGTTCATTAGCTTTTCTAAAAAAACATTTTTTTCAGATTATTATAGGCAATCTGGAAAATGCTGAAAGAATAAAGAGAAAAACGTTTCCCATAATCTCACCACAAAAGATAATCAATAGGTATTTTCTTCATCCTTACATACATATTTGAATTCATATTGACTATATATTTTAAACATGTATTATACATGTTTGTATCCTAAGTTTTTACTTATGTTGCAAGTATTCTCCTTGCCATTAAAAAAGTTCATAAACATTTTTATAAATGTCCAAATAAAATCTCATCACAGGGACACTCTGCCATTTACTTGGCCTTCCTCTGGTTGTTGGACATACAAGTTATTCACAGTATTTTACTATCATAATAATACAGAAAAGACACCTTGTTGCAAAAATTTGCCTGTATTCTTTACATTTTTCCTTAGGAAGCTTTCTTTTAAGTGCAATTTCCTGGACTAAAGATTCAAATCATTTTTTTGAGGCTTTTGGTAGGTACAGCCAAATTGCCCTCCAGGAGGTGCCCAATTTGTACTTCCATCAGCAGGGTAAGAAGTTGCCTATTCCCCTGCCTGAGTCTTCTCCAGCACTGAGTATGGTCTCTATAAGATTGAGCCTCTGCAAAGCCCAATAGCCCTTTACTAGAGAAAGCTCATTGTTTAACAGATCACCATGGTTTAGAACAAATAGCAACTGAAACCTGAATTACTCAGGCCTCTGGCTGTGCTTTTCAGCAAAGGTGAGGGCACCTGGGACCAGCACCCAGTAAGTGCCTACCAGGGCAGTTGAGTGACACCCATGAGCAACTAGATGGCAGACAAGCTACTGTCATCATGAGGACTGGAACTGCTACCAATCAGGTTAGTTCAAAGACTGACCCCATGTCACCCACATCCCTTCCTGTCCTTCCTAGCTGTATTGGCCAAAGATGGACACGAGGTCATCCTAGAGAAGATAGAAGACTGGAATGTGGTGGAACTTATGGTCAATGAAGACGTCGTCTTTCACTGCAACATTAAGGACCTGGAGTTCGGTAAGTCCTTTAGCGACATTTCCAGCCAGCATTTTGTCTCCTCTGAGGAGTCCCTCAATTTCTAGTTGAAACAATCAGTGCATCATGCCTGGATTCAAATTGGGTTTCTGTCTGAGTATGAAACTCCTACTGAAAGCCCTGTGCCCTGTGGCACACACAGGAGCACATCCGAACCACACAGTAAAGTGTGTGATGCTCTGAGTTTCCCCAAACACTGGAAACAGAAGAGGAAGGAAAATGAAGTGAAGCCCTGGATTTCAAGGGATGTGATGGGATTAAGGGATAACAGTTTTTTGTACTTCAATAGTATGTATTCTACTATTATTTGCATTCAAAGCTGCTTTTGTTCCATATATTTATTCTATCTAGACTTGCTAAGACAATTTGAGTGGATATGCCAGTAGTGCATGACACTATCAGCAACGTTCAAGTGATTTCTTTGCCCTGGAGAGCTTCAGGCCTGGCAGGCTGTCACTGTGCATGCCTCTCTGTGCTCCGAAGTCAAAGCTTTGCAATCCATTCTATTTAACTCCATTAAAAACTAGTTAACATTTTACTTGCCCATGGCCTTTGAAAATGCCCTCTGGGTAGAAACCATAGGTATGTCTGATACGATAATAAACTGTATATGAAGCTAACCAAAAGACAATTATATCTATTTCCCTAGGAGGCGACGGTACACTAGACCCACTGTGTGAAAAGGCCCGCATAGCTGTGTTGAACGCCTACTGATCTCCTTGCGGAACAAGCATCTTAAATTGGCAGAACAGCAGCTGCCCCAGCCATTCTATGATACAGGCAGAAGTGGCTGTGCTGGGGTGTGGACACTGGGCTCTACTAGTGAGAACAGGGTAACTTCGGCCTGACTTCCAGCCTACACAGCCTCAGGGTTTTCACCTGGCTGCACAGGAGTCCACAGAAATAATAAAAACCACATCATTTGTAGCATCTCTCAATCTCAACCCATTGGGAGAGCCCTCCAATATCAGATACACATTGAGCTGAAGGAAATCATAAAATGCAATCAAATAACAAGGTGCCATCCCTTACTAATAACACATAGTTGCCAGAAGCATCTGAGATTTCATTGTTTAGTACTTGAAGAGCTCAGAACAGGTAAAATTAAAGAGAAGTTGGGGGAAGGGTGGGAATAAAGGCTTTTGACAGTCTGAACCAAAAGCAAATGTTAATATTTGGAAACTTTGCTGTTCCTACAGATTTATTTCTCTCTCCTGAGGGAATATTTTAAATTGCTAATATAAAATTAGCTGAAATCAAATCTTCAGTTATTCTCATCTAAAACAAGAAAATGACCTGTCTTCTTTTGCATCAAGATTGTCTAAGGAGGGCATGAAACCGTCCTCGGCAGAATGTGAGATGGCTCCCTGGTCCCTCTGGAGGAGAACACAGCCCCAAAGAGTTAAAGAGGGTCTTCTTTATGTTCAGTGTGAAAATCAATCATGTCAAAATGATATTTTTACTTTCTAGTCTTATGCACCAAAGTGTAGTATATATTCTTAACTACAGTGTAACGGAGAGGGGGAAATGCAGGTACGTTAAATGGGACATCATGGTAAGAAGGCCTCATACCTATAGAAGAAAGCCAGATTCCCTAACAGAAGACTCTGGACCCAGGGCACCCGTGCAGAAGGAGCAGGGTCTTTAGGATCCCTCCAAGAGCTTCGGCCTCGCTCCCTCTGAGAGCAAGCCTAACCATTGCCCCCGGAAGCCTCAAACCCTTCTGCACCCTAGAACTTCAAAGGTCACCAGGAACCATGAAACTGCTTGCACAGGTTCTTTCTCATATGTGAGAAAATAGAGGGTATAGTTTTAAAACCTCAGCCCAAGCTACACTTGTCAGAGTTGATTCAGGGATTGAATCAACTATTTAATTGATTCAATTAATTAAATCGAATCAATTTAAGCATCTCCTTACTGAGAAACTAAGGCTCAAAAAAGATTTTTCCAGTGTCTAGTGCCAGTTTTCATGTATCTTTTGTAACCCTAGATTTAGTCCTTTTTGTCAAAGACCAGTTTAAGTTACTATAGATATAGCATTCAATCTTTGTTTCAATATAACATTTTACTACAAGAGAAATCCATTCTCATTAAAGAAAAATGGAAAAATACACATAAAAATAAAGTACAGCTTTAATAACATTTTTATATATTTCAATTTGGGTTTCTTCTATTTATATCTGAATATTCATAAAGAGATAGACATGCAGAAATTGACTATCCATTTGAGATTTGCACAATTTTGTAAGTTTTCAAAAATTTTTCAACTTTTATTTTAGATACTGGGGGTACGTGGGTAGGTATGTTGAATCTTTTTTAAGACATAACATTTTACATAGAGCCACTTCCCACATGACTAAAGCATTTGTTGGCTGGGCATGGTGGCTGACATCTGTAATCAATCTCAGCACTTTGGGAGGCTGAGGCAGTCAGATCACCTGAGGTCAGGAGTTCGAGACCAACCTGACCAACATGGTGAAACCCCGTCTCTACTAAAAATACAAAAATTAGCCAGACGTGGTGACCTGCACCTGTAATCCCACCTACTCAGGAGGCTGAGGCAGGAGAATCGCTTGAACTCAGGAGGCAGAGATTGCAGTGAACCGAGATTGTGCCACTGCACTCTAGCCCAGGTAACAGAACAAGACTCCATCTCAAAAAAATAAAAATTTAAAAAAAGCATTGTGGGAGAAGATCTAAGATGGCCAAATAGGAACAGCTCCAGAGTGCAGTTCCTGGTGAGAACAGTGTAGAGGGTGAGTGCTCACTGCATTTCCAAACAAGTTTTCACTGCCCACAGACCAAGAGATCCCCAGGCCAAAAAGCACCACAAGTTATCAGCGCAGAGGTTGCAGCTGGTGCCACGTCGGAGCACAGTAACTCACACACAAGTCTGGGCTGCCTTTTCCGCCGGAGCCTGGAAGGCCTGGGAGACAGAGCTGCCCATTCAACTGAAAGGGAGGGGGCTAAGACAGGGAGCCAGGGGATCTGGCTCGGTGGGTACTGCCCTCACAAAATAAGCAATCTGAAATGCTCTGGATTGAGAGTTTCGCAGCAAGCACAGCTGGACCCAGGACTGTCCAGCTTAATGGGGGGAAGGGCATCCCCTATTACTGAGGCAGTTTACCACTTCACACAGGAGCTGGGCAGAGCCTGTAGTAGCTCAGCAATGTCTCTGCTGGCAGACTGTGATTAGACTACTCCATGCAGGGCAGGGCATCTATGAAAAAAGGCAGCAGCGTGACAGGGACTTACAAATAAAGCTGACCTTCCTAGGACAGAGCACCTGGGAAAAGAGGTGGTTATGAGTTCAGCTGCAGCAGACTTAAAGTTACCTGCCCAGCAGCTCTGCATGAAACAATGGAGCTCCCAGCACAGCACTTGAGCTCCTATAAGGGACAGACTGTCTCCTTAAGCAGCTCGCAGACTCCCATATACACAAAGAGACACCTCATAAAGGGGAGCTCAGGCCAACATCTGGTGGGTACTCATTTGGGACAAGGATAGCAGAGGAAGAAACCTGTGGCAACCCTTGCTGTTCTGCAGCCCCTGCAGGTGATCCATAGGCAAGCAGGGTTTGGAGTGGACCTCCAGCTGTCCTGCAGCAGAGGGGCCTTACTGTTGGAAGGAAAACTAAAAAGCAGAAAGAAATACTTCATCAGCAACAAAAAGAACATTCACTCAGAGACCCCAACCAAAAGTCACCAACTACAAAGACCATAGGTAGATAAAACCACTAAGATGGGAAGAAACCAGTGCAAAAAGGAGGAAAACACCAAAAACCAGAAGGCCTCTCCTCCTCCAAGGAATCACAATTATTCAATAGCTGGGGATCAAAGATGGATGGAGAATGAGTCTGGTGAATTGGCAGAAACAGGCTTTAGAAAGTAGGTAATAACAAACTTCTCAGAGCTAAAAGAACATGTTCTAACCCAATGCAAAGAAACTAAGAATGTAGAAAAAAGGTTAGATGAGATGCTAAATAGGATAAACAGCTTAGAGAAGAATATAAACAATCTGATGGAGCTGAAAAACACAGCACGAGAACTTCATGAAGCATACACAAGTTTCAATAGCCTAATTGACCAAGCAGAAGAAAGGATATCAGGGATTGAAGATCAACTCAATGAAATAAAACAAGACGGCCAGAATAGAGAAAAAAGAGTGAAAAGAAATGAACGAAGCCTCCAAGAAATACAGGATTATGTGAAAAGACCTAATCTACATTTGATAAGTGTATGTGAATGTGATGGAGAGAATGAATCCAAGCTGGAAAACACTCTTCAGGATATTATCCAGGAGGACTTCCCCAACGTAGCAAGCCAGGTCACCATTCAAGTCCAGGAAATACAGAGAACACCACAAAGATATTCCTCAAGAAGACCAACCTCAAGGCACATAATCATCAGATTCACCAGGGTTGAAATGAAGGAAAAAATGCTAAGGGCAGCCAGAGAGAAAGGTCAGGTTACCCACAAAGGGAAGCCCATCAGACTCACAGCACATCTCTCAGCAGAAACTCTACAAGCCAGAAGAGAGTGGAAGCCAATATTCAATATCTTTAAAGAAAATAACTTTCAATCTAGAATTTCACATCCAGCCAAATTAAGCTTCATATGCAAAGGAGAAAGAAAATCTTTTATGGACAAGCAATTGCGAAGTGATTTCATCACCACCAGGCCTGCCTTACAAGAGCTCCTGAAGGAAATACTAAACATAGAAAGGAACAGCCAGTACCAGCCACTCCAAAATGTACCAAATGGTAAACACCATCAACACAATGAAGAAAATGTGTCAACTAATGGACAAAACAGCTAGCTAACATCAAAATGGCAGGATCAAATTCACACATAGCAATATTAACCTTAAATGTAAATGGACTAAATGCCCCAATGAAAAGACACAGACCGGCAAATCGGATAAAAAGTCAAAACCAATCAGTGTGCTGTGTTCAGGAAACCCATCTCATGTGCAAGGGCACA